TTTTTTTTCTTCCATGTGCAAGGCGCGACAAAAAGTCACTAGCGTAAATTACGTACATTATTTATCACTCGAGTTGGATGACGTTTCACTGTGTTGCCATGTGGCCAAGCTACCATCGCACCTCATTTCGAGCGTTCTTTATGCCAGTCCGAATGAGGACCAGTCTTTTTTTTTTTGCACTCAGCCATTGCGAAGTCTTACTTGCTTACCTTTAGTTTTATTCATCAAATATTGACTTCTGTTTCGGATAAATTCTACATAGACTCATGTCATCTCTCCAAGCACAGTGGGAACGGCGCACAGTTCGGTCGAAACTCACTCGTGGCCATACGAACCGATCGAGTCCAGGAGCTCCAAACGGCCAGACGACCCCAAGATAAAAAAAAAAAGAAAAATCACGATCCTGCACCTTCAATGGATTTTATACTTGTCTCTCAAGGGGATATCTGACAGTCTAACCCCTCCCCCCCATTTCTCCTCTCACCGCATCTTTTTTTTTTATAAGATCGTGCGACTGTGAGACTTTTTAGCCCGGATTCTTCCCCTTGGCCTCTGTACTTCTGTTTCTCTTTTCGGTCCTTTTTGTCGGGGAATTGGAGATATTGCAATGTTTTCTTCGATATTTTGATATGCTTGCATTCCTTTCTGCACGCGAGCGTGCCAACTGATTTGTTCCCATTGAATAATTATATTTATTATATTATAGTAATTAATTATATATATGCACAACATTCAAACCTTTCGATTTTTTTTTCAGAAGCTCATGAATGCATCCGCCAGCTGCAATTAACGGCCTTCAAACTCGTTCCCTCGCCATTAGGGCGATTGCGAATCCAAAAATCCAAAATGCGAACCCCATTTGATTTTGATGATCGTATAAAGTGTGGCCAACGCAAGATGTTGTGAGAGATCAAGGTGGGTTGACCGACTTGCTGATTGATTGATTGATTGATTGACCGAGTTGCCCATGGTCAATTCACTTGTCTTTTTTTTGGTATTTTCTTTCAGGCTTTTGTTCCATTGCTCGTTTCCTCCTGAAGTTCATGGCCTTAGTAAACCGGCAATAATTTGCCCTGATGAAGTTGGCTGCTCCTTAGGGTTGTAATTTAATTGTAAGGTTGTAACTTTAGAGTTGTAATTTTCTTTGTTTTAAAATCGTTTGTCTGTTAAATGAACATTTCAAAGCATTTCCCTTCATGACTTTCCAAAAGTTTCTTCTGGAAGGAATTCTCGTCCCTCCTACTAACGTTCATTTGATGGCAAACTTCTTGCAACCTTATTGCCAATTTCTTGCAACTTCATTGCCGAAGAGCATTTCACTCCTACACTTGATGGGGTAGGGGACGAAAAAAAATTTTTTAAAATGCATATTTCGTATGCCTTCATCCAAAGGTCAAAGAGGGTCAATCTGACCAGATTTTTGCAGTTTTTAATTTGATTGGATGAGCATTTAATTAAGAAAACTGAAACTGAGGAATTTGGTACTCGTTTCTGCCAGATCCGACGTCCATGTGAAGCAGTCATGAATTTCACGATGAAGTACCCGTACTTTCGATTAACAGTACCGAATCGCAGGAATATAGCATATGCATTTCCTCGAATTCTCGGCTAACCCATTTATAATTAGTATGGACAGTTCATATTTCAGATGCCATGTCCGTGCTGCAAACTTGTCTTAATATGGGCACTACTTCATCCATACTTTAAACCTGTTAAAATTTTGTAGCTAATAAAACTTAATAACAGCGAAAACCAGTTTTCTTCGAGCCAGAGTAGTATGCCACACTGTTATAGCACGATCATCAAAATCAAATGGGGTTCGCATTTTGGATTTTTGGATTCGCAATCGCTCTAATGGCGAGGGAACGAGCTTGAAGGCCGTTAATTGCAGCTGGCGGATGCATTCATGAGCTTCTGAAAAAAAAATCGAAAGGTTTGAATGTTGTGCATATGTATAATTAATTACTATAACATAATAAATATAATTATTCAATGGGAACAAATTAGTTGGCACGCTCGCGTGCAGAAACAAATGCATGAATATCAAAATATCAAAGAAAACATTGCAATATCTCCAATTCCCCGACAAAAAGGACCGAAAAGAGAAACAGAAGTACAGAGGCCAAGGGGAAGAATCCGGACTAAAAAGTCTCATAGTCGCACGATCTTAAAAAAANGAGAAGAGCGTCTTGAACCGGAACGAGAAATTCCCTATCCCTTTCGCACTCCCCTTGCGGCACCGACCAATCTATTTTTGGCATGTTAAAGTCTCCGAAGAGCAATACCTGCTTCGAGATCTCGCCGATCCTACGCATGAGTGCAAAATATGCTGTTTCATCCTCGAGAGAAGAGTTAGGGGGCCTATGGTACCTTGGTACTTTGGTACTTTGGCTGAGGATGGCTGTAGGTATTTGCAGCAGAAGCACAAATGCAAGTATACTTCATAGATTTGTCCATATTTCCATACGCCCACAGACCACACGTCCATATTTTGCTAATTTCAAAGGTGGCAACCTAATCCTCACCTCCCTCGACTCTCGAGAAGTCTTGGGAGTTCCCGCTCCAAGCGTCAACGTTCGGTCGAGAGACGTCAACGTGTTACTAAGGAAACTTTGTCTATCTGGCTTCGTAATATTGTTCCTCAACGAAAACACAACTCTTCGCTAAATATTGTGAAAAACATAAATCATGAGACATTCCGCAGTGTTCCTCATTCTGATAACTTTTCTACAACGATTGCCTGCCATAATTGGCAACACTGCGGAGGCCGTTTCCGCTATCCGGCGTCCGCATGTTGTCCAAGTCCTTATCTAACGTTAGGCTATCCTTGGACGGTCTCCTGGAAATGCTAAATCATAAATCCAGCGTTGACCTTTCATTAGTTTTGGTCCTCCGATTTGAGAATATTTGGGCTAAGAGACTTCCTCGTGGAAAGATCAATTGCCGGTCAGATCTCCGAAAAAGTAATGTGTCTTAGGCCATGTTATTTATATTTTTGGCCTCGCTTTGCTTGCCATGGGCAAGTGTAAACCCAACTTTTGGCCTTGAGGAAAGCTTAGGATTAGGCATAGGCCTAAAGGATTGGAAGCCACCCTTTAAATAAGAAGGATGAATAATCGGAGTGGTTTGAAAGTTACCAGGGAGTTTCAAAGTCTTCCAAAGTTGTCGCATTTTAAAACCTTGTTGGTTGCAAGGATTTAGAATGTGATCCTGGAACTAAAACCATGCAGAAAACAATAGCTTAAGTGCTGACCTTTCTGACCGCAGTCTGTATTGACAGCATTCAAGGGTTACCTTGAATGCTGTCAAAAAAAGCAAAATGTAAACAAACATGTACTATTAGAATTCTGTGTCTATAGGCCAAGGTGGTTCGACCCCAACATCAGGACCAAGCTGGACATGGTGTGCCAAATGAAATCGCCTGGCTCGATTACACTAGAATGCTGTGTCAAAGTGAAGAGAAAGCTTTTCCATAGAGTGGAACATGTCTGGCATTCCCCTTTATGGCTCTGAATGAAGCTCCTTAGGTTAGGTCTCTAAAAGTATATGTTTGGGAGGTGAAATGACAACATGTCAGTATTGAGTATGCTGAAGTTATATCCAATATGGGTAAATGAATATTGGCTATATAGCACATATTTACATACTGTCTTATACCCCTGACCTGATGTTATCTTCCTCATTCATTTTTATCCCATTCTCTTTGCCTAGACCTTTATAGGATTGTGAGGGAAAGTTAGCCACACAATAGTGTTAGTCCTATCTCCTGCTCCCATCCTATTGTCTCTCTCCTTTTTGCTATTACACCTATCTTGTCCCCCTTAGGCTTCAGATATATGAATTTAAGCTGCTAATGGCAGATGAGGGATTTGATAAGTTGGTCAGCTCTTTCAGTACAGTAGCTGTATCCATAGGACTGTAATCTGGCTAGGTATTAAAAACCCACTTCTGAAAGGGTTCAACAATCCAATCTTAACCCTTTCAGTCCTGAATTTAAAATCATAATTAATGTAAAAATATATTTTCCTTACTCAGCTGTCCAGAATGAAATGTCATTAACTGCAAAAATGCAAATAATAAATTGTAGTCCTGCTAAATATCCAAATAGAAAGTGGGACTCCTGAAATCATGCCAGGACTGTAAGAGGTAAGGGTATTTGGACATGTAGGCCTATAATAAATGTGCTCTAAGTAGTTTGTCTTCCTGTCAGATACATTCTAACATTTTGTTCTGTATGTGCACTAAGCACATTGAAAAATGATACCCTGATTACTCTTTGAATGTGAAAGATGGTATGACCTCACCCTGAAGTCTGTACCCAAGCCATCTCAATCAATAAATGTAAGAAATCAAGGAGAACCAATGACATCATAAATGATGCACATGAATCCACCAAGGAAGCATTGACTACTTGTGAATTCTGGGTGATCCTTGATTATGACTTGGTAAATTTTAGCCTTAAATATCACTGCCATACTGCACCCATGTTGACTCCTCAGCTGACAGCTTAATCATTCAACCACTTTTTTAAATTTATTTTTTGAGGGATACTTAAGCCTGCATACAAATATATATTTTCTTGCCATTTTGGCATGGCTGTTGCTGAGGAGGCCAACCTTCAGTTTTGAAATAAATTGATTAAAAAGAAACTATGCTGAATGTTTGCTACGTACACTGGCTATTTTAAGCTCATAAAAGCTTTGGCTTGAATAACAAGTCTAGAAGGTAAATGACCCTGTCATGAGCTGAGTTTCCCTCACAGCACATGGGGAAGGTTTGGAAACAACCCATCACCTTAGATAAGTATTCGACTTTAAATTTGAAGGACATTGGTTTTGTTTGTAGTCAAAGTTCCAAAAATTTCCTGTCATCACCCTTGTAATCTCGGTGACTGTTGTCATAATATACCTGGTGTATGATTACCTGATTAGACACTCCTTACTCTTTCAGATTTTGTTATATTTGGCCACAACAGGTGTGGGCCCACCTGTCTCATCAAAATGTTGGTGTTATTTGAGACCCCGGCAGGGTATGCCATTTTCAAGGTAAGTTGTGAGCAATTTTGTAACAGATTAATTGTATCCCAGTTTATCCCTGGACAAATTCAACTCTCATGTAAGATTTTGACCCATGGGTGTAAAGGCTTGTTCCAAGCTTCACAGGTCAAAATTTATTTTTAAGAAAAATTATTGCATGACTTCACCAGCCCCACAATTCCCTCCCAACAGCTCCTTGATGAGAAGAAGCTTCAGCAGACTGACAACTTATACCTGGATTTTGAGACTCCAGAAAAGGCAGCACAAGTGTGAGTCTTGTATCCTTAATGTCCTTTTAGGTCAGAGAGTTCAGTTTTTTTAAACAAAAATATTTGCAGGGTGAAGCTGAAAGCATTCGAGAAGTTTAAGGACACCACCGATGCCATGGTGGCTACGACGGCTGCTGTTGAGGGCAAGATGTCTAAGGTGCTAAAAAAGATGCTGAAAAAGCTTGTAGTGAAGGAGGCTCATGAGGCACTGGCTGTTGCTGATGCTAAGCTTGGGAATGCAATCAAGGACAAGCTCGGCCTGGAATGTGTGAGCAACAGTGCTGTGATGGAACTGACGAGGTGCATTCGGAGCCAGATGGATGGTCTCATCACGCTCCCGCCAAGGGACATCACAGCTATGGCACTTGGACTTGCACACAGGTTTGCTGAAAATATTTGAGACAATTGGATTATGATATGCGGTTCAGCTTGTCAAGTGCTGTTTGCAAATTTTTAGAGATTTCAGGGAACAGTGAATTGTGGGATGTCAGATTTCATATCTGCAAAATGGCATTTCTTATATTTTTTCAGAGTTTGAGGCACCTATACAAAAATCAGCATGGTATTCTTTTAATTTTTTTTTATACCAGTTTTTATTATACAATTTTATTTATCCAAAAAATGTACTTTATGCTTCGACAAGCCCAGGTTTAATGGAGAATTGATTCATCATCAAACTACTCCGTGATTCTTTCACATTCTTTTATTAGCTTTTGTTGCACTCTGCAACATCCATAAGAGTGTTGTAGGCCTGCACATGAAAAAGAGATACATCTAAGATTCCTGAAGCTACTTGTCTAAATATGGGAACTGATGGTGGCCAGGGTCATCTTCAACTGAGTGCTTGCAATCCTGATTGGGGTGCTTCCCATTGAAATGCTTAAAAATTTTTTTGTATGCCTATTGTGATGTGCTTCCTCAAGTTGGTCCATTCCTTTGTTTCATTGTTAATCCTAGCCTCTCCCGTTACAAGCTGAAGTTCAGTCCAGAAAAAGTGGACACTATGATCGTGCAGGCAGTCTCCCTACTTGATGACCTGGACAAAGAGCTCAACAATTATATCATGCGAGCTAAGGAATGGTACGGCTGGCACTTCCCAGAACTTGCCAAGATCGTCACTGACAACATTGCATTCATTCGCACTGTCAAGGCCATAGGTCAGCCTTGGTAAATTTTGAATAACATCTTTAGTTACTCAATTTTAGAAGTGACCATATTGCACGATCTTACAGGGATGCGGAAGAATACTGCAGAAACGGACCTCTCAGAGATTCTTCCAGAGGAGATTGAGGAAAAGGTGAAAGAGAATGCTGAAATATCCATGGGCACTGAGATATCCAAGACAGATATTGAGAACATCATCTTCCTTTGTGATCAGGTCAGAGTACATCAATGTCTCATGAAGAAAATGCCAGCAGATTTGCAACAGTGGTATATATTGCATATTGTGTTTGTAGGTTCTGGAGATCTCAGATTACCGAGCCCAGCTGTATGAATACCTCAAGAATCGAATGATGGCCATTGCACCGAATCTGACCGTCCTTGTTGGAGAACTGGTTGGGGCCAGGCTCATTTCCCATGCAGGTGAAGACCCCTTTCTTCCTGCCATAGTTAAACCTATATTATGAGGCATCTGCTGTTTTGGAATATTAAACTGTTTTCTTTTGTTGTCCTTCAGTTTTTTTCTCCTTGATAATGGATAAGCAGTATTTGGTGTAAGGTAAGAGTGTGACGTGTTCAGGTGATTGAGGGTTGAAGTTGTGTCGACTGTAGCTGAATATCATCAGGATTAAATCCAGCCACGGAAATCAGACATTATTGAGAGGGAGATCTGTAGTTTGCGTCTGTTGTCTTATTTATGAATCTTTGGCAATTATTCATTTTTAGGGTTGAGAAATTACTGTGAAGAGTTGTATTATCATATATTTTCAAGCATCAAATCAAATGCTTTGACAAGGTTCAAATAGTATAAGAATAAAGCATTCCATTCCTTGGAATGACTGAATTCATTGAGAGTCAGTACTTTTACTTACTTTCTTACTACTGTGGTAATGCTGAACACTGCATTAGGGGTATCAGATCTGCAGTTGAGATTCCATTGTATTTAATCAGAAGTGCATTTGGCCTGCAGTGATTTTTTTTACTTATTTTTTCTTTATTGCTAAGTAGGTGCTTTCCCTATATTAGTAAAAAGGATGTACTGCTATGGTATTAAAGTAGTGGAGGATTGATATCAATTTGCACTTGTTTGGGGTTATTCTTAGGGTCCCTCTTGAACCTTGCCAAGCACCCGGCATCGACGGTGCAGATCCTGGGAGCCGAGAAGGCTCTGTTCCGTGCCCTCAAGACCCGACACGACACGCCCAAGTACGGGCTCATCTACCATGCCCAATTGGTTGGCCAAGCTCAAGCTCGTATGAAGGGCAAGATCTCGAGGATGCTGGCTGCCAAGGCAGCGCTAGCATGTCGTGTGGATGCACTCGGCGAGGACATCGAGGGCTGCGCACTCGGGGTGGAGCATCGAGCCAAGGTGGAGTTTCGTATACGCCAGCTCGAAGGAGGGGAGATTCCTACCCGCATTTCTGGCACTGGGAAGGCCAAGGCCAAGATGCAAAAATACCTTCAGAAAACGTATGTCCTACAACTCAATTCTTGAGCCCTTATTTCTTTTTCTTTGGTTTCATTGGTAGGCCTTTGTGTCAACCATCATTGGGTGCATGTATTGCTATATGCACACATGAGGGAAAGCCTTTTTCCCCCTGATGCATTATGGTATTTGACGTGGCAAAGTTTTGTGAATGTTGGAAGAATATTAACAGGAAAGAACTTCTTGATTCTCATGCCCTCCAATGAGACTTTTTGAGCATTAATTTGATAATAATTTGAGCATAATCAGCATTAATTCACTTCTGAAGTATGATGGGAGCATTAGTTGTCCAACCACTACAAGTACTTGACAATGGGCAAATTAGATCAGTTTTCCTGTTATTGAAGTCTTCATGGTTAGCACTTTCATTTAAGCATAGAGTGTTACAGGATCAGTCACATTAAGTTTCTGCAATGTCAACTTGATTTTGGTATCATGCAGGGAGATCAAGGGAGAGTATGAAGTTGGTGCAGATGTGACTATGAAGCGGAAACGTGCATCGGAAGGTGATGGCCAAGAGCCAAGGAAGCCCAAGAAGATCAAGGTGGAGGAGATCGCCGTGGAAGTCCCTCCTGAAACCGCAGCCACCCCAGGTAGAGAGAAGGATGATCCAATATTTATGACTGCTGCATTTCAGCTGTTTAAGCTTTCATCGGTGGAAGTGCTTTTGGAATGTAAGACATGTCCAGGTCCACACTCTGTTGGAGCCTTTGAAGTTTCAACCAAGGAATCCATCTTGTTTCCATTGCACTATGCTTGCATTAGGTACTCAGTGAGAATTTGGCAGAATTCTGTAAGGCTCAAAAGTCCCTATTTGTGTCAATGCAGTGCTTGAAATCAAAATATCTGGCAGGCAAAACTTACTACTTTTGCAGAGAGTAATCTGGCTTCAGTCATTTGAACTCTGGAGTGAATTTTTTTTTCACTTAACTAGTTTCCTGTTTCTTGCTTTCAATGTTGACTTTGTAAAGAAGCTCCATCATGATATTGAAAGTTCCATCTATCCATTGATTTCATTTTCCATTCATGAGCTGTTGTTCCACTCTTCAGAGGAGGGTGAGAAGAAGAAGAAGAAGAAAAAGAAGAGGAGAGAGTCCCAGGAGGAAGATCTGTCAATGGAGAATGGTGATCCCCAGGCAGAAGGCAAGTGCCTTTGAAATTCTGGTTTTTTTTTGCGTTCATGAGTGACTGAGTCCCGTCTGGCTCCGAGCGGATGGGGCAGTTGGGTGGGATGGAATTGGAATCTGACTTCTGTAGTTTTCAAGGGTGATAATGAGACATAGATCATTTCTGATGTTATGTGATAATTGGGGACAATATGCTACTGAAAGTGAAGCACCAATTATACACATTCAATGATGCTGTTGCACTGTGACAGTTGGTAACTTTTACTGGAACTTATTTCTCTTTCCTGGCAGAGAATGCAGTTCCTTTCACACATTGCTAGTGTGAATGTGTATATGTAGATTCGAATGCATCTGAATTGTACATGACAAGAATGTCCACATTATCAGATAAGTTTCTGGTCAATGTTATGACCCCAGAGGTACATCCCCCATGTTCTTCACCTGTACCTTGTCCGTCATGATGAACATTTCCATGATTTGCTTATATTTAACTGCATGTCCTCGATTGCTATGTCATTTAATTACTTTATTGATTCCCAGTGAAAGGTCATAGTGCCAGAAGCTAGCCCACAATTACTTGAATTATGAAAGTGTGGCAGAAAAAGTATTGTCCGTTATCGTTTAGTTTGAATTTTTTTATTTATTAATAATCATTCTCCGAGTCTAGCGTACCAAAACCCCCCAATTTCGGTGGCAATCTCACTACAGGCCAGATCCAGAAATTCGGAACAGGCGGAGTAGCAATCATAGTCTTGAATAGTGTGATCCGGGGAGGCTGTTGGTGTATAGCTTACTCTGTTTTGTGCAGTCCTTCCTACTTTTCTGCCCGCCGGAAGTTGCCCCATCTTACCACCACGGTCATGACTATTGACAGCTGTTGGACTGACTGCACGTTGACCTTTCGACTTACAAAGAGCTCTGGGCCGATCTGCATTGCTTCCGGAGTAGTTTGCTAATCATCCTTCCCTACCTTCCACATTCCACCTTTGTCTCGCGACACTGGGCGCATTCAGTTATGACCAGGGTTATGACTCGAGGTTCATGATTCTCGGCAGGTGCGGCGCTTTTCCGAGGCTATCATACCTAGTATTGGTAGCATCTCCGTTCTCTTTAGGATGGTCCCGGGAATGGTTCGGCTGCCCTGCAAAAACACTTTCATCCGTTCATCGAAGTAGAGAGCGATTCGCTCTCTTCTTCGTTGACGATTCACTCTCTAAACAATCGGAGGTGCCGAGTAGTAGAAGGGCCAGCAATGAAGGCCAACTCTGTCGTCGAGTTTACTGTAAAAGCGACGACAAAGTCCACTGTGTTCTAAAAATGTTTGCCTTTTATCCCCAAGAAGCGATGACCTTGTCTCGAGAAGTTCTGAGTCGATTTTCGGGAAGGAGACCACCGTTAGATCCGCCATATCGCATTGCCTATTCTTTCAAAGTTTCGGGTTCGTAGAGAAATTTCCGGATCTGTCTTCGATCCGGAGTGCCACCAATCGTGACTCACTTGACTCAGAGAACGGTTGTTAAATATTTCCCTGAAATTCTTTTTGGGGTGGGAAGCTATGGTGTGTTAGATAGATGTTTGGTACCATGTGGCATCGTTGAGCAAATTATGCACTCAAAATAATTGGTCTCTATTTGCATTCTCGCATTTTTGGTATGATGCCAATTGGCATCATTATGCAATAGCAGCCGAATGGCTGCAATAGCTGTTGCGAGATGTAACAGTCGTCATTAATCTCTTCCGCAGATGAAGTCGCCGTGGAGGAGGTGAAAAAGAAGAAGAAGAAGAAAAGGAAGTCCACGGAAGGAGACGTGGAATGAGAGAATTTGAGACTGTTGACCTTCCGATTAAAGGTTTTTCTGTTTTGTTTCCATTTGTACGCAGCCGTCTCCTTTCTTTCTCCCGAGAGTGAGTGGAAGATGCAGCGGAGTCCAAACTGGCGCTTCGCGATTTTGGACTCGGTGCAGCACGTGTTGATTGGCAACTAGATTGGCAGCGTGGGGGGGGGGGGGAATGACATTGGAAGTCTGCCATAGAAATGGTTTAATGAGGTTTTTTTTTGTTGCTTTTTTGAGGTTGTTTGGGGCGAACGGTTTTTTTGTTTTTAAATTGAAGTTGAAGATTGCCAATTGCCATGATTCGACCCAGTCGCTGAGGCGAACAGCTGAATTCTACCCTCGTAGATTTTTTTTTCGTCAAAGGGAGGAAATAAATGAATTATCTAGTTGGAAAGTAAAGATCCTCGATGCCGCGCCCACGGATTCTGAGAAAATTGCGTCAGCTTGCTCGCATCGATTTTAATCGCCTGGAAGAGACAGAAGTCCAGCTGCATGCCAGATGCCGTCATCCGGCGAAGCCTGCGATCCGCCCGCCGTCGATTTAGTCGTTGCGCGCTTTTGGCGTGGGAGGGGCCGGAAGCAGACGGTGCCGATCCCAGCGATTGGCGATACCCTCGTTGCATGTTGAGAATTAATTTTTCCCGCGTCTGGGATGTCTGAAAAAGTATGAAAAATGTGCCGTGGTAAAAGTCATGATCTCGACGCATTCCCGCCATTAATTAAAAATGTTGCACAACGACGCAGTCTGCTTCGTGCTCGTTGGCTTTTCAGCGATTCCGAACCGAGCTCGCCTGGCGTGTTCGCCCTGTCTCCCTAATAAGTCCTGGATTGTTTCCTCGCCGGAAACATATATAATGAATGTGTGGACTTGGTGTACCGTTCATATGAGAGTACGATTGACAATAATTTATGAAGTAATTATCGATTTGGCTAAGTCTCTATCGAGGAGATCTGCTCGACGAAGCGCAATGTGCCCGGAAAGACGTGCCCTTTGGGCACGTCTCATTATTTATCTTGAAAAATTCTTAACAAACGACGTCAGCCGGTTTTCCTGGCATCGAGACACCGGGGAAGAAAAGACGCGCTTGAATTGGATCTGTTCTCAGAGACGAGGTTGCCGTTTCTTCTCTGGAATGAGAAATCGATCCCCCCGCCCCCGCCTACATTATCTGTTTACTGAGAACTTGTTATGTGAAGTGTTTCTCGAAAGCGCTTGCTTTCGCTTACTCCCTGAGCTGCTCTGGGAAATATTTTGCTTCCGACCGGTGCCTAACCGCGAGTGAAACGGCCACTGCGGGATGCGCGAGGAGAATCCTGCGCGGGGACGGAATTGCGGGAGGGCAAGGGAGGCCGGTGGGAGGGAGGGGAGGGCTCCGTCGCCGCGCGGCCGGGGAGAGCGTCTGCCGGATGGTCGTGTTATCAAGAGTGATTAATTGTTCGGTAATTGGTCGATTTGCGGACTTGGTTGCTCTGGGGAGGTAGAGGAGGAGGAGTAATTGCGTGGAGGATTAGATGAAATGGGGCTGAAAAATGGTTTCATTCGAGTCTGGCCATCTGGGTGAGGAGAGTCGGGAGCGCTTCCTGGTTCTTTTTGGCGGTTCGGCGGCGAGTTTTGGAGGTGTCCGAGGTCGGGATGGATGGGAAACTGGTCGCGGGAACGGGTGGGTCCTCGAGTGAGTCTCTTTTTTTTTTTTTCCTCCTGTGATTTTAGATGATTAGTGGGTTTTAACGTAGGAAAATGGAAGGGTCTGTGCGTCGATGACTGTAATTTATTTCGAATCCATAATGTGATACCCGTGGAAACTCGAGTATCCGCGCCCACGCGTGTGAAAGGTGGAGAGGAGGGCACTCGCCGCGAGCCTTTCCCCTGTCGTCTTCCCCGCGAGCTTCGCGTCGCGAGCGTCGCGTCGCGGGAGGTGGGTGTCGGGTCGTCTGCCGGCGGCCGTTCGCGGTTCGCTGCTTTCGCGTGCCGAGTAAGCGGGGGTGGGATGCTTGGACGAACCGATGAGTGGCACGATCCGTCGCCTCAAGGTCGCATCGATCGAGAGATGGAAGCTGAGAGCGACTCGGAGAACTCGAAGCCGGATCGCTTGCCTATTTCCCGAGAAAGTGATCCGAGGGAACGAGGGGGGAGTCACGTAGCGCTTCGCGGGTGAGGATTCGCGCGGCGTCCGACCTGAGCCTGGTGCCTTCCCTCGCCGAGGCGGCCGGATGTCGTCGGCCGTGCCGGCGCACATCCAGCTTCGCGCGTTTCCGGCGGGTCCGACGAAAGGGATTCCCTCGAAGGCGCCCACGCCTGAAATTCGAGGCGAGAAAATAGCGATGATACGCGCTTTTTTTTTTTTGCTGCGTCACGGCATCAACGGCTTTCCCTCGCGACCGTTTCGGCCGAAACCCCTCCGAAAAAGCGACGCTTCTTCTACTTTCCGTCTCTTCGCCGAGTCCTGCCGACTTCCGTGCGACCCCTGCCGTCGCATCGACCGCGACGGAAGTCGTCCCGACGACTCGGAACGCGCTCTTCCCACCCCTTTGTCAAAAACCTCCCGTTAAAATCGAATCCGCTCCGGGCAACATCGGCAACACCGCCTCGCAACATCGCGGGGGCACCGCCCACCGCCCCCCAACGGCACTCCTCGGGGGGCACGGGAGGCACGGGAGGCACCGGCCACCATCGTTCAGGCGACCGTTCCGTGAGTGATGTCGTGCCCCGCCCAGTGACGTAGTCGCCTGTCAATTCTAAGTGGCCTATCCTGTGCCATCCCAAAAAAGGACCATGAAGAAAACCCGAAAAGCCTTCCATCAACCAAAATTTTCTCGTGACAGGAGCACGACCTCCCTCCCCCCCTCCCCCCTCCCCCTCTACCCCCCCTCTCCCCCTCCCCCCTGAGGATGAAAGCAGCGCATTGAGTGCCTCCTCTGCCTTCCACTCTTCTCGACCTCCTCGACCTTCAGGGCAGGAGGTCCCCGTGGAAGGCTTCCAAGAGCATCCACCCCCCGCGGTGCCGAGTGGGAGTGGGGGGGGGCGGGGGACACTTTAACCCCCATCCGGACGAAGCACTTTTAGGTACTTTCTTTGGCGCGAAGCTGCGAGTCCGATGGACTCCGCCCGTTTCTTGCCCTTTCCTCCTTGGATTCGGACTCAAAAGTCCTTCGCATTTCTGCGAATCGATGATGAAATGGTGCAGAGCAAAAAAAATTCCATGCGACCAAAAAAAATGGAGACGGGAAAATGCGATTCCGAGTCCGACGGACTCATCATCTCAGGAAAGTGCTCGCAATTTCGACGAGGAGACGGTCGTTGATTTCGGCGGTCGCCGCGAACGCACCGCTGCACCCTCCAGAAAGAGCAAGCCCCGAACCTAACGGTCCGGCCACGTCATCTTCTCGTGGCAAATGATGCAAGTGACACCCGCGATCACTCGTAGTCGATCGCCTACTGAATGGACTTTAAAAAAAAAAAGAAGAAAAAAGAGAAATAAAAGGATCCAGATCGGCACCCGAGTGCGAAGCGGACGTGACCGAAGAAACGCGGCGAAGAAGGAAAGGAAGGGGGAATGTGGGTCTGGGAACGTCACGAGGTGGGTGCCGAAGATGCGAGGGGAAAAGCCAATCATGCTATTAAATACACAAAAGGGGCGATGTGTAAACGCCTGGGACTTTTCCCACGGGTAGAGGCCTGCCCGGGGTCGGTGCCCTCCGCGGGCGCCCGCGGGCATCGTCGGTGCCGCGGGCGCGAGCTGCATCGATTCGCGTCTCTCGTATCGGGTGTGACTCATGCGATCGCGTGATCGAACGTTTGCACTTCTGCTCGCGAGAATTGGATTCCGGGGAGCTGGGAAGGCGGGTTCACGATGGGTGGCTGGTTTCGCTCCATCACCTTCGTCTTTTCGAGAGGGATCCATCCGAGAGAGGAAAAAATGCATGCGTTTTGCAACGTCGTCGCCGAAAAAAGGCGGAGTTACGCTCCAGTGCCCGGAGACGGTTCGTCGAATCACGTTATAGAGGCGTTGTGCTCCATCGATCCTCGTCCCGCGTGACCCGTAGCGCCCGTCCCGCGGTCCGTGCCTCCGCCTGGACCGCGACGCCCACGGTCCGGCCGGCGCAGGCCTCCCCTCCCCGCGGGGAGGGATAGACAGGTGCATGGGACTGGACCGAGTCAGTCTGTCATTAACCGTGGAGGCGGTCGTGACTCTCTCGCTCTCTCTCCCTCTCTCCCGCATCCGGTGTTCCCTGCCGTTGCCCTTGGCCTCCGTCGCTTCAACATGCTGGGATTCAGGTCCACCTCGCTCAACGTGCTTTCCGGTAACGTCCACTCGCGAATTCCCCTTCCCATAACCCCTAACGATACCCGCCGAATCCCGACGAGGAATTTCGCGACTCATAGCCGTAAAAAAAAAAAAAGTGTAAGGAAATGAGCCGGGTCGGTGCCATGGGTCGGGCGTGGGTCCGCTGCATCAGAGCCTCATTATCTCCACTCCGGTGGGAAGGTCACTTTTTTTTTCTTTTCTTTTCCTTTCTGACTTCTTTATCTTCGCGATGGGAAAGGAATGCTTAATAAGGGAAGGAGTTTCACTCTCGACAGGTTTACAATTATTTTAAAAGACGGGAAGAAAAAAACCAGCGATGATATCTCTCGCCCGATCGACGACCTTCAAGCGAAGCGGATTTTTCTCCCTTTTATTTCCCACTGGGAAAAAAAAATTCCAGTTTTATATCTCCTTTTTTGTCGCAAATAGATTCTTCCTCGTCGTGTGTCGTCTCGAAAGCCACCTCGAAGCCACCTGGGAGCGCATTCCCCGGAATCGATTCACTCGTAGACGGAGGGGGTGTATTTCACCTAATATTAATTAATTTTTTTCGTATCTCATAATCTCGGTATTGATAACGAAAAGCAATCGGGAGGGAAAACATCTTAGCACCCCCGCTTTCCCCCTCCCCCCCCTTTCCCCCGCTTTCCCCCTCCCCCCCCTTTCCCCCACTTTCCCCCTCCCCTCCAGGATGCGGAGGACTGATTGAGATCTCATTTCAGGGTCGCAGTTTC